AACTGTGTGGCTTGGTAGCACAGGTCCCCCACAGGCTGGAAGGGGTGGGACAGGACACTCGGGCTGGGAGCAGGAGCCACGAGAGGACAGGCGCTCAGATGTCGGCCCTGTAAATGAACCCGAGTTCCATGACCTCAGCAAGCTGCTCAGTGTTTGTTACCTAGAAAGACACCTGCACCTGCTGTAAATTCAGAAGGCCACAAAAAGGTATCGGGATGGGGAAATACTCCTTCCCTACCACTCCTGAGGCAGCCTCCTGGGCTTCCTCTCTGCGCCCTTCCCAGTCAGCATCTTGTGTGGAAGGGTCAGGGTGGAGGGAGCAGAGCATGGAGAGCTCCCACACTGTGTGCCATTAACCCCTAAGCTGCAGGCCGAGATTGCCACGGCTTTCACTGTTTAAATGTTGGTTCAAGTTAAACCTGGCTCCTGGTGTACAGATTTGTTAAATAACTGGGAAGCAGAGATGCTTTTGCAAGCCTCCAGTGCACAGTGCAGCTAAGTCTGCTCTGCTTGGAGAAGATGCAGGTTCAGACCCCTGAGCAAGATGGATAGGGGTGCAAACCCCAGCTGTGCTGGAGCCGCCCTTATGCGATGGCCTCCCTGGGCATTGGTCTCCTCAGTGCCTGGCCCAAGCCTTGGTGGACTGTCTCACAGGCATTGGCAGGGTGAGCTCCTCTCGGCCTCGGTTCTGGAGGAGCTCTGAACGCTTTGTTTGTGATCTGCTGAGCCTTCCTTATTTTAGTAAGCAAATGGCTATTTGATTTTTAATGGGACATGTGGGGAAGTGGCCTCCTAAGAGTACTAACCGTACTAATGTGAAGAGTTGAGTGAGTCCAAAGGGCCTGCGGTCTAGACACCAGTAAGGGTGCTGCTCTGGGGACCCTCAGTCAGCCTCTCCCCAGCGGACCCTGAAGCTGGCAGGTCGGATGTCCATCTTCCTTGGCAAGGTGTATGGGCTCAGTCCTGCAGGGAAGGCTCCTGGCATTTGGGCTTTTCCTGGCATGATGAGAGGACTGTATTTCAGAGGTTGAAGGCTTATTTTAAATTAGCAGGTGCTGGTGTGAAATAATGTAAAATAAACTGATTTGCATTCTTTCTGCGTGCTATCCTCCAAATGAAATTCCTCTCATAGGTCCCTGGTGGCTCCCACTCGCTGAAGAGAGACCCAGGACCTGGGCCGCCCCTGGACTTCAGAGTCCACTGACCTCACCCTGCAGCCCAGAGCTGGGTTTGTGAGGCACTTAGGTACTGGCTGGGCTCGGCAGGCTTGGTACTCTGGTTGCTTTCATTTGCTCTGGTTTAAAATTCCACTTGCAAAGGTGAAAGCAGCCACACTGCCGTGTCCAGCCTGTCCTCTGAAGGACCTGCGGTGTCAGCTGTGTGGCCACTCCTGGGCTCGGTGTGTTGTTTAGCAAGGACTTTAATTGAGAACGCTGGGTGTGCTGACCCCATGCAATTCTAGGCAGCTGCTGCCCCTGGCTGTCATTGGTAAATGCAAAACCTTCGCGGTGATCTGTGTGCGCCGTGGGTGCTGTTTTGGTACTCTGGTTGCTTTCATTTGCTCTGGTTTAAAATTCCACTTGCAAAGGTGAAAGCAGCCACACTGCCGTGTCCAGCCTGTCCTCTGAAGGACCTGCGGTGTCAGCTGTGTGGCCACTCCTGGGCTCGGTGTGTTGTTTAGCAAGGACTTTAATTGAGAACGCTGGGTGTGCTGACCCCATGCAATTCTAGGCAGCTGCTGCCCCTGGCTGTCATTGGTAAATGCAAAACCTTCGCGGTGATCTGTGTGCGCCGTGGGTGCTGTTCTTGGGGTGTAGCTCTCTGCAGGTTGGTCCGTCTAGTAAATCTGTGAGGATCCCCTTTGCTGTGAGGCTGCTTGAACAGCACTGTTTTCCTGGCAGTTCTGGGGTGAGGGCCTGGGGCTTTCCTGAGGGTCGGTGCTGGTGGCAGCCTGCTCTGTCCTGTATGCCACCTGCTCCCACGCATGAGTGCATCCAGGGTTCTGTTGACAGATGTGCCCACCTGTCTCCTCACAGAAAGCAAACCCTCCAGGTGAGCGTCCTGTCACGCCTGTCCAATTGCCAATGTGGAGCGCCCTCTGACAGGGATTGCTGCTTCCTTTCCTCTTCCAGCATCTAGAGGCACCTGCATCCCCAGCCCAGCCTCGGGTTAGCCCATCATTGCCTGCAGTCCTGCTCTCTTGCAGGACCTGGGATGGCTTTGTGCCCACTCCTTATCCAGTCTGTGAGGCTGACGTCATTTCCACACGCCTTTGCCTGCTCGGCACAGCGTGCTATGAGCAGAAGCCTCGCCAGCCTGTCCTCCCATATTGCTGGCTGCCTGCCTCCCACCGTCTCTCCAGTCCTCTTGTGGTGGGCACTCCTTGGCCACCACCTGGCCTGAGGCCCCACATGTCACATGCTGTGACCACACAACCCCCCGTCACCTCCTGGGCCTGCCCACCTGCCTCTCAGGCCTCTGTCCAGACCTGTTCATCCTGGACCTGGAGTCCTCTCCCGTCGTCGTCTTCTCTATCACTCTGTAGTCCTCTCAGTTCTGATGGCGCCACGTCCCTCTTAGTCTCAGCTGCAGACGAGGTTTTCCTGGTTGCAGCCAGACCTAGCCTACCCTCCTGAGCAGACCACCTTCCTGTTATTTTGGGGGCCATGACAGATGTCCTGTTACCACCCCTGTGCTACAGGGCTCACAGGGCTTTCAGCCCGAGCTTCTGTCAGGACCTGTGTCAGGACTGTGGGTTGGGAACCAGGGCTCCCTCCTATCCGAGGCCCCTGTCAGGCCTGCCTGGACCCGGTCCCCTACTAACGCAGTGTGACACCGCCCCTCCTGGGATGCTGGGCTTTGTGCTTTTGTGTCCCAGAAGAGGCATGGTACTCAGATAAAACTAATTCACACTGTATGCTGGGCCTGAAGCCAGAACCAGTCCAGTTCAGTGGTGATCACCCACTTCCAGACTTGGAGAGCCAGCTACAGGCTTCCCCAGACTGCGGATGGACAGCCAGGCTCTCTAGGAAAGGTGAATGGTGGATGCAGGGCTTTGGCCTCAGATACAGGCCTCGTGCTGCTGGCACTCACGGATGTGAGCTGGGGGTGCATGTCACCTGTGCTCCTGGCCCTGCCTGGTTCTCTTGTCAAAGCTGCCTGTGGCTGGTGTGCCAGCTACTACTGCCCTCTGCTCTCAGAGGAGGAGGTCTTAGTGCTTATTCTTTGAGGGCATAATTGGGAAGGTGTGTGTGTGTGTGTGTGTGTGTGTGTGTGTGTGTGTGTTTGTGTGTATGTGTATGTTAGTGTTGAATAAGCCCACAGCCTGCACAAGGGAGACAAGCTCTCTATTGCTGAACTGATCCTCAGCCCTGTGGCTTTATTTTTTTATTGTTGTTGTTGTTAGCCTTAGAGGTCCGTTCCAGGAGGCACAGAGCTCCATGCCCAACACGTTTTATTTTTTATTATTTCTATTTGGAGATGGTTTTGAGTCTCAGGCTTGAATCAGTCTGATGGTCTTGCTGTTGCAGTGTCACCAGTTTTTGGGTCGACAGGCCAGTAGCATGGTGCCAAGTCTCTTTCCTTTCCTTCCTTGTAGACACATGGAGAGCTCCTTTGCTCAGGCATTAACTGATCATTACAGCACTTTGTAGGTTGTTGGTGCATTGCAGCTGATGGTACGCATGAGAGTGGGCTGTAGAAACTAGGCAAGAGGAGGATGTGGCCACCAGGGCTCATCATTTTCATCAGTATTATTGCTTTTCCTTTGTGCAGTTGAGAGAGTTCCTAAAAAGCCCACAGTGGCAAAGCATACAGAAAATGCGTGCATCTACTGGTGGAGCCTGTCACCCTCCTGACAAGGTCAGTCAGTGTCGCCCAGGCTGCTGGGGATGGGGCTCCAACAGCAGTAGAGGGTCAGGGATCGCGTGAGAACAGTGTCAGGTGCACGGTAAGAAATCTGCATTCGAGGGCCAGATCTGTTACAGCTCAGTGGTCGGGTGCGGGACAAGCTTATGCCAAGCCCTGGGTCGCACCAGCAGCAGTGCCATTAAATATAAGGGGGGATTGGTAGCTGGTATTGGATTTTGCTCGGCCTCAAGGCAAGCCAGGCTGGTGAGAAGAGCCACTTATGCTCAGGCTCTCTGACAGATGCCAGGGTGTGAGGTCTGGGAGGTGGAGGGCTTGGCAGGGAGCTGGGCTCAGGCAACCCCTGCAGGAGTCTTACTGGAAGTAGAATCCCAGCTTCCTATCTTTCTCTGAACACAGCCAGGATGCTGCCAGTGGGCGCAGGCTCGGCTCCTTCAGGAGAACGAGTGAGTGTCTCCTTCTGGGGCAGCAGTCCCTAGGCTGAGGGGTCAGGGCAGGCCACTGCCCCTGAACCTCTTCCCCATGCAGCTACCTGTACCCTGACCCTGTGTCTCCACCCCTAGGAGGGTCTCCACTGAACTGCAGGGGGTGAAGGAGGTAAGGCACATTGGGGCAGAAGTGGGAGAGGGGCGGGATGGATGGGCCTGAAGTCGGCAGTCCCCCCCTGCTGACTGTGCCCTGTGCCTTGGGCAGCTGAGGGCATTGAGGGAAGCCAAGGAACAACGAGGCGCCAAAGTGGAGGAGCTGGAGAGGAGCTTGATGGGTGAGTGAGGACAAGTGTGACCTGGGAGTTGGACCTGATCGCTGGCTGGGGGTGTGGCTTACCCTGACCCCAAGGAGTGAGGTGCATTCAAGGGCACTGGGCCAAACAGAAAGGGCTCTGTGCCAGGAGCCAGCAATCCTGTCATCTGTCTGAGCCTCTGTGTCCCCATCGGAGAGAGGGGTGCTGTGCCCACTGCCAACCCCCCACAGGAACTGTAGGGGAGAGCGCTTTTTCAAGACTGGCCTCCATCGGGCAGGAGAAGTCATGCATGAGGAAGCCAAGGTTTGGGGCAAGGAGCGTGAACTGAGGGCTGAGCACTGAGAGGCCCAGAACTTTACTACTGCTTCCCTTCTCAGCAGTGACCCCAGCCCTGGAGCCCCCAGCTGAGCCCTCGGAGGAAGTTCAGATGAAGAGGGAGCTCAAAGAATTGAGGCGGCAGTTGGCCCAGATGCAGGACAGTGTCCTAAGGCTGGTGCGTGATGCTCCCCGGGTTCCTCCCCACCAGGTCCTTTAAGGCAGAGCAGCACAGTTCCCTTCTCCCCACAGCACAGTGGGGCTCTGCAGGCCTCCACTGTGAAGTTGCCCGTGAGGCAGGACCCTGCTGGAGCTTCTGCTGGGGACAGGGGATGATTCTCCACTCTGCCCTGCCCCATGGTCAGCCAGATTGGCAACTCGGGCCTGGCTGTCTCGGTGGCATTGATTCCCATTCTCCACAGGCAGAAGAAAACCACCAGCTGGCCAGCGCGCTGCAGTCAGAGCAGCTTGAGAAGAAGGCGCTGGCCAGGAAGCTGCGCGAGCTGCAGGAGAAGCTGTGTGAAATCACAGCATTGGTAACTCCCACCCCCTGGGACTATGCAAGGACAGTCGTGCCACCCATGGGGACTGTCTCGGTGGCATTGATTCCCATTCTCCACAGGCAGAAGAAAACCACCAGCTGGCCAGCGCGCTGCAGTCAGAGCAGCTTGAGAAGAAGGCGCTGGCCAGGAAGCTGCGCGAGCTGCAGGAGAAGCTGTGTGAAATCACAGCATTGGTAACTCCCACCCCCTGGGACTATGCAAGGACAGTCGTGCCACCCATGGGGAGGAGGGGCGTCCAGGACTGATCTCTCACAGCTCGGGGACAGGTGACCCCAGAGTCCTGCACTGTGCTCCTGAGCGTTTCTGTGACTGCTTCCAGCTCCGGGCCTCTGACAGGTAGTGGTGGGTGGGTCTGGACTCTGCCTGGGTCCTGATTTCACTGTTCCTGCTGGAGGCCACAGAGCCCTGAAAATAGGAAGATTCAGGATAGGAGGGGAGGCTCCTTGGTCCCAGCAGCTCTGTGCCTTACATCACCAAGCCTGGGTGCCCATCACTTGAAAAGGATGTGGCATTGTCCTTCAGACCTGGTGCATGAAAAAAGACAATGCGTGTGAAGTACAGGGTGTGGGGAGAGTGCTTAGTGCCTGTGGGTCAGCTTCCTCTGGTTCTCCACAGCTGTGGTCTGAAGTTCAAGTGCTGGGAAAGGAGGCTCTGGCTTGAGGCTGTGTGCAGAAGGCCAGGTGGCCCGAGTTCCCCCGCCACCTTCCTGAGCTCCAGCTCTGGAGCAGCAGGCCCACCTGCCCTCACCTCTGGTTCTTCTGCAGATGGCGCTGAAGAGCCAGGAGGCCCAGCACCTGCAGCAGCAGGGGGACCAGCTGCTGTCCCAGGTGTGGCAGCATGCTGAGTCCTGGCAGCAGTTGGCCACGGAGAAGGAGGCCCTGTGTAGGCGCATTCTTCTGCACAGAAACCTGGCAATGCAGCTCCAACATACAGAACAGGAAAAAATGGTGGCCCTGGACAGGATCCGCCGCCAGGAGATGCAGGTGATGAAGCTGCTGAGGTGGGTCCTGTGGGGGGGGTCCCCGGCTGCCTCTGACTTCGCACTTTGCATGCTGCCCACAGGAGGACCTGAAAGCCTCCAGGCTGCAGGAGGAGCAGGCAGCCCCGCTGAGAGTCCTGGCCCTGGCTGGGGCAGGTGAGTGGAGCTGCCCGGGGCAGGGTGAGCTGAGAAGTGCTCTGAAACTGAAAGTGGAGTGGGTAGAGACCTCTGCGGTGCAGCTCATTCTCCCCCAGGGGGTGGTGGCCCAGGGGACCTGACAGGTGGGTGCAGAGGGGCCTGGGGCCGCTCTGCCTCCCTTGTGGGTCTCACTGGGAACTCTCCTGGCTGCTCCCATTTTTCAACGAAGGGGACATGGAGCAAAGGCCTGTGGAGGCTCCGGGGTCCAACACCACCATCCCCGAAGACTCAGGCAGCTCAGAGGCCTTGGTGAGCATGACTGCACTGTGTCTCTTCTCCCCGTGTCCCGCTGTGTCCCTTCGTACAGCCCAGTGCCTTGGTTTTCCCACCCTCTCGTTTCCGTGGACCTCACACCTTCCCTGACAGTCTTTGCTCAGACCTTATCCTCTGGCAAACACAGGCGCCGGTGAGAGCGGGGAGCTCCTTTCTGCTCCTTTCCCCTTTGGGTCAGGAGTGACCCCTCGGGAGCCACACCCACTTCTGCAGACTGCATTTTTCTGGTGATCCTCACCCTGCCCAGGAACACCAGGCTCCACTGCCCAGAGGCCTGAGGCAGCAGAATGGACAATGCCAGTGCGTGGCCCATCTGGCGGCCCTGATCCAGGACACACCTGTGGAGGGGGCTCCCACCCGCAGGAGCAGTGGTGACCGTGTACCCACGGGGAAGCTGCAGGTGAGCAGGGCACGGAGCCCTGACCCTGCCGCTCTGGCTCCTGCTGCTGCTGGGGTCTTGCAGGAGGAGGCAGTGACCAAGGAGAGATGGGTGGAGCAGGAGCATCCCTGCCCGGAGCTCCATGAGGAACTGGGTGACACTGGTGAGCCGGCCATGGCCTAGGGAGCAGAGGCTGTGAGGTGTGGGCTTGGGAACCCTGCAAGTGATGCCTGACTGCTGTCTTCCTTCCACTGCAGAGCTCGCTGCCATCTGCCCCAGAGAGTGGGTGGTAGGGAAAGAAGAGGGGCATCAGGAGGAGGAGGAGGAAGAGGAGAAGGAGGAGGAAAAAGAGCAAGGGGTGGAGGAGGGAGAGAAACAAGAGCATAGTAAAGATGAGGAGGAGAAAGAGGAGGAGAAGGAAAAAGAACAAGGGCAGGAGAAGGAAGAAGATGAGGTTGAGGATGTGGAGGAGGTGGTGGAAGAGAAACAGTATGAGGAGGAGGAGGAAAAAGTACGCAGGGAGGAGGAAGAGAAACAGCAGAATAAAGAGGAGGAGAAGGAAGAAGAGGGAGGAAGAAGAAGAGGAGAAAGAGGAGGAGGAAGAGAAACAGTGTGAGAAAGAGGAAAAAACACAATGAGAAGAGGAGGAAGAGAAACAAGAGCACATTAAGGAGGAAGAGAAAGAAGAGCAGAATAAAGATGAGAAGGAACAAGGGGAGGAAGATAAGGACGGGCAGGAGAAGCAGCAGTACAGCAGCCAGCTGTGCCCAGGACAGGAAGCGCTGCAGGTAGGGCTGCACATCTCCGGGGCGGAGTCAGGGTTCCCACCGCGCCCTCTCCCTCTGGGTAAAGCTGCTTGTGTTGCAGCAGGTGGCGCTGCGGCAGGACGATGGCAGGTCCTATCAGGGCCAGTTGGTGGCCACCGCACAGACCCGTGGTGAGGAGCCCACGGCAGGGCCCAGGGGCACCTAGGACGTTGCCGCTTCAGCTGCAGAGGGTAGTGAGTGGAGCCTGGAAGGGGGCAGGGGCAGGTGTGGGCAGGGGCACAGTGCTCAGTGTCTGCTGCTCTCTCTCCCAAGATCTTCCAGAGGGGAGCCCTGCTCACCCTGAGGAGCCCCCAGGAGAAGAGGCCCAGGTGGGGTCCTCCCCACAACCCCAGCTGCCTGAGAGTGAGAACCCCATCAGGTCCCAGGCTTGGGTCTTCATCCCTTCGTGCTCTGCACGCGGTTTTGCTACCTCGCTGAGGAAAAGGACACCACACAGCTCAATTTGATTCAAAGCCTTTCTCCAGCAAAGCCTGGAGAAGCGGGGCCAGGGCTCTGTCCCCACTGTTCCCCATTCAGTCCCTGCCTCCCTGTCCCTCCTCTCCTCCCCTGCTCCCTGCCCCTATAGGAGCAAGGGAAATGCCACAAATTTCCTTTTCATTGAAAATGTTTTAACTTCTGGGCCAGGAATTCAGCTTAGTGGTTCCCCTGCCTGCCTCCCCAGCTCAGGGACCAAGTTTGATCTCCTGTACGTACAGATATTCCACAACATAAACAAAAATGTTTAGAAAATGTTTTAAATAAAAATTAGAAAACATTTTGTTTTTATACAACTTCTTTATGGGTCAGAAGGACAGGAAGAGGAGATATAGATGGGATCGTGGTGCACTGGTCCCACAGGTCCTGTTGAATTTGATTTCCGTGGTTGGGAATAAATGGCTTCATTTGGCTGCCTGGCCTGGCCTGCTCACCTCCCAGGGTCCTGGGCTGACTGAAAATGACAAGGATGAGGGAGAGTCACCGCCAGCTGGTCCAGCACGGCAGGGTGGCATCTTCCTGTCCTGTCACCTGGATGCTTCGAGGGCAGGGCGAGGGCACCGCCATGGGGGCTCCAAGGACATCCTGCCCTACCGGGCCACAGACAGGAGTCAGATCTGATGGTGGGCAGCATCTAGGGGTGCTAATGTGCAGTGCAGGATTTTGAGTTCCCACCCTGGTCCTGGGCCCGCCAACACCCAGGGGCTGGTTCCTCGTGTCCAGCCCTGCCCAGTGCAGACCCCAGCCCCTCTTCAGCCAGGTGGAGTTTGCGGCCATGCCCCCTAGTGCTAGGACTCGCTGGTACCATGTAAGAATCCTCTAGGGGACTGGTTCAGCAGCCCTGGATCTCCGAAGACTGGTGACTCGACTCCATGCTATGGACGAAACTCATATTCCACCATATACACAGGAATCTTGTGCGGGCAAGGTGTGGAAAGGGCCATGTTAATCTAAAGTGCCCCTCAAACGTCTCCTGTATTTTGAAGTTTATGGATGCGGGGGCAATGGACTCAGTCTCTAGTTAGCTTGGTCTCCGAGGCTACTGCAGATAAGGCCAGGAAAGAGCTGCATGGAGCACCTGCACTGTGCCCAGTGGGATCCTGGCCAGTCCATCCTGAGGCTGCAGATTCCGGTTACTTCTGGTTCATTTGGCAAGCGACCTCTTTTGCATGGGAATACATCCTCCAGTCTGGGCTATGGCTGGTCTGGGGCAACATGGCTCTGTCCCCTCATAGGTTTGTGGGCACAGTCCACATGGGGTCCCGTCCTGGGCTAAAGGGCAGGACGGAGTGTGTCCAGGGTCCTCCATTTTCTGTGCCTCTCTTTCCCCTCCCAGGGTCACTGCTGTGGAAGGGCTGTGGAGAAAGCAGTGCCTCAGACCTGTCCTCCGAAGACAGGGCTTGACCATTCGGTGAGAGCTCCAAGTGCGCAGAAGGGCCCCTGGCCTCCTTTCTGCAGGGAGAAGAGCGGCCAGCGTGAGACAGTTTCTGGCCAAGCAGATGGGCGCGGGTCCCCCACCCCGTATGGCGGACTTTTATAATGTCATTCTTTAAATTAATGTATTCACACGATGTGAATAACACGCTGGACGTCCTCACGCCGTGCGCCAGGTCCAGCGGGGTGGAGACTCCAGCGCCAAAGTCAGCAGGGTGGGGCCACCTGCCTCCTTGATGTCATTCTTCCCCTGACAAGTCAGCGCTCCTGTAGAGCAGGAGAATAGAGGCATGGGCCCAAACCCCATCAGAAAGGCAAATTGACGCTATCTCACCTAAAGATGAAGAACAACAAAGGGATGGTTGGGGCACCACCCGAGGGGTGCCAATGACGGCTACCACAGGTGTTGTTTTATTCGTGCAAGCACTGTTATACCAATAGTCTACAAACTCTGGCCACCTGCTCGGCACAGTCCCCACAGAGCCTCATCCAGGACGACGGCCTGGAGATGTCCCTGGGGCCTGTGTGCCCTGTGCTGTGACACACACTGGGGCCACAATAACAACGGGTGCCAGCTGGGGTGTGGAGTATGTGTGTGAGCAGAGGGGACTCTGCCCTGAGGCCACGGGAGGACAGAGGGGCCCTCGGGACAGGTAACCACTTCACTATCTCCCTGCAGGGCCCAGGAAACGGTTCAGGAAGGTCCTGGTGCCAAAGAAATCTGGGCCCCCTGTCCTCGACCAGCACATCCTCTCTGCTCAGCCCCCACTTGACCAGGGGCAAGGTCACCGTCCACATGTTGGCGGGAACATCGGAAGAGGAACAGGAACACCGTGTCACTTCTATCCTCTCATAATTTCATTCTGCCATTTCACCTCCTCGTAGGTCCTGGCCCACGTGTCCATGTGGCAGCTGCTCGATGTCCAGGACCCCTGGGCTGAAGGACCTTCTCCATGGGTGGCAGTGAGCACGGCCATTCAGCCTCCCACGGAGAAGAATGTTGGACCTGACTTCTTCCTGGGTCACTGCAACAGGAACCCGGGGCACGTTCTGTGTGACCTCCTAAGTGGACCTGGGGTCCCAGGAGGAGCCTCTGTTTACTCATCTCTTCCCTGGGGAGGGGTCGTGGGACTCAAGCGTTGTTGCTTTTCACGCACAGAGCAACATCAGCCTTTCTTCGGCGAAGCGTCAGGCCTGAAAATGTTAGCAGTTCTGTGTCCCTTGTAATATTGAACTTGTACCCTGAGGATCACTTTCTGCTGGGGCCTTCCTGTGCCTCTTCTGGTGTCAGCCACTACACCCAATGTCGAGTTCGGTCTGGCCCTCATCCTCAGCCCTCCTCATGAGCCGTGGGTGGGACCCCAATTCCATGTCTCCACTGTCCCATCACAGATTGGAAATCTGGAGGCCCAGAGCCTGGTGGAGGTCTGCATGGTGAGGACCGCACGGGCAGGCATGCCCCCCCACCCCACGGAGGCCTTCCTGGACAGCTGCTCCATCTGTGAAGGCTCCTTCCCAGACCCCTCCAGGGCTTGCATTTCCTTCCTGCGGGAGGGGATGCTGAGAAGGTGCGTTCTGCTCTCAGCAGCATGGTGGGCCTTGGTCACTGGGACTCCAAGTCTCAGGAACGCACGAGCACCAGCTTGCAACACTGAAGAATGGGTGCTGAGAAGATCAGGCTCATTTCAAGACTGTAGGATGAAGTGGGGTCTCTATCACAAGTGTGGACCCTGACCCTGGGGTTGGCCCCTTGGAAGACCATACCCAATCTCGGGGATGATTTTCCATCCCCTCGGGTGAGCTTTGCCTCCTGTGCACAGACCCCTGCATTGGGGAATGTTGCTGTGTTCACCGTAAAGGAGATCGCAGTCACTCTGCAGATTTCAGGGTGGTCCCAGAGCAGGAATCCTTGGGGGATGCAAGGGACCAGGCCCACGCAGACCTCACGAAGGAGCAGGTGGCTACATCACTCCGGAAATATACGTAGAGACGCTCCATGGGGACACTGGGGCACTGACTATGGTCCCATCACCAGGGCAGTTAAAAGCCCTTCCCTCTGGGGTTTCAATGTAGTTGGGGTCTGCACAGTCAGCCTGGACCACAGAGCAGGTGTTCCTCACAAGGCAGTAGAGGAGACTCCTTGTGCCCCCCCTAGATACGGATTCCCAAGAGGGCAAGAGGCGCCCAGAAGGGCACAGAGAACTGGGGAATACATTGCTCCATGAGCGACAGCCTGAGGGGAGGCAGGGCAGGACAGATGCCTACTGCCCCTCACCTCTCAGACACTGAGTTATGGAGCAGCAACCCTGCGCCCTTGAGTGCAACCACCCAGCAGACACCAGTCCTCAGGGAGCTGACCGTGGGGATGGGCAGAGACTCAGTGTGTCAGGCCACCGCGAGGAGGCAGAGGTGCTCAAACTGCTGGACAAGGTCCCCCCACCCCATGGGGCCTTCTTTCGGGCTTCAGGGCTGCCTGGGCCAGGACTGCTTAACTGTCCAAGGAGAGAGGGGAGAGCTGCACCTTGGCCAGAAGGCCCACGTGTCCATCCCTGCAGGTGCCCTGGCAAGTAGTGTGGGAGCCAAGGCCGGGCCTCTCTCTTTACTGCTCATTCTGTCCACTCCAGGTCCGTGTCATCTGCCCTTGACGCCTTACTAGAGCTGCATGCCCCGGGAAGTTCAGCAGACGAACTTCTCCTGGACCCACAGGAGCACACTGAGCCCAGGGAGGCAGAGCCCCAAGTGAGGAGGACTGGGGTATGGTTCTGTGGGCACGTGGGAGGGCATGGACTTTGGGCACAGAGAGAGCTTCCCGATCTAGGAGACCCAGGAACAAGGAGACACCGCGTCCAGGGGGAGGATGCAGTCTGGGAAGACTCCCTGGGGGTGGGTTTGTGCACAGACCTCTCTCTGACAGGCAGTGGGGAGGTTTTGCCCTGGGTAGGACCCTTGCTGATGTGTCTTTCTCTTGCAACTGTGGGGCCAGCTTTAGCCCAACCTGAAGTCCCACCTGTAGAGTGTGTGCCAGCTCCACCTGTAGCTCCCTCATCAGCTATGGCACCACAGCCAGAGCCACGGCCAGGAGCCCCTTCTCCACCAGCTGCACAGCTGGGGGTCCCTACAGATGCACAATGGGCATCAGCTCCTGAGCTCCAGCTGGGCCAAACTCCTGCCCCACCCCTGCCATTCCCGTCCATTACTGTTGGTCATGTTTTGGCATATATATTTGCTCTTGTTTTCTGGATTTATGTAAACAGTAGAATTCTTTTTCAATAAAAGTTAAGATTTTAGTCTTGTTTAAAGCAACCAGCTTGGTGGCATGAAGTGCCTTCTCAGTATTGTGCCACTGTCATTGCTGGTGCCGGTCCTGAGCATTTTCCTCATTCTGCACATGTGAGTGGTTCTTCCCCTCTCGCCTGCTGCTTCTGCCAGGCCACGACTCAGCTGACATCCCTGGAGATGGCCGAGTCTACATTTTTCCCACCTCTGCAATCAGATTTCTCTTTGGCCACAGAATCCCGAAAGAGACTACGAATTATTTTTTATACAGTGGAAATTCGTACAAAGATGCTATCTATGTTTCTTTCTCTTGTTCAGTTATTCTCCAGCTTTTTAGAATAATACAAGAATTTGTTTACTCCAGTAAAACAAGAAATGCCATAGGAATGAGTAAGGAGACACGGTCAGAGTCACCTGTGAGCATGCACTGAGGCCTCCCCTGAGGCGCTCCTCCTGTCTGTCTTCTTCCTAGGGTTCAAGCTTGTGTGTCTTTGCTGCTGGTGGCGAGTGTGTCAGGACACAGGTCTTCTGTCATGTCATGGACCCACTTTGCACATTCAGTGGCCTCCACATGTGACACAGTTGTCTGAGCACCCTCTGCTCTGGACAGTTTACAAATCAGTAAAGATTTTTTCAGGACTGGGGATGGAACCTAGTATCTGCTCACTGAACCCGATCACCGGCCCATTTCATTTTTGTTTTTAAGGATGTTATAAAGTCTCAGTGTTAAGTAGCTCTGTTTTCTATCCAGGGGTTGAACGCGTGACCTTCTTGCCTCTTCCTGCCAACTTACTGGGATCACAGAGCTATAGCACCTCACCTGGCTTTTTTGATCAGATTTGAAAAACAAAGCAGAAATCTACCTCTAGGCCTGGGTGTCCACCTTAGAGCTTGGGTGCTTTTGGGATCCTTGTCGAGGGGTGTGGACTCCACCAGAGGGGGGATTCTCCCTGAGATGCCACAAACTCTGTGCTCTTGCACCAGGCGAGTGAGCATAATTCCAGGGCTGCCCAGCCTAGGTGGTCACCATGGGCTCTGCACTGAGCTCCCTCACACACTGCCCTGATGTGCAGAGACTCCACATATTTTCCCACCTTTGCAGCAAGGTGAGCTTTGCAGTGAGGCAGCACAAGCCCTTCTCAGGAAGACCTGTCCTCCTCTAGCTCCAAGAATCCTTCCTGAGGAGTAGGAGCTGCAGACAGCCCCATGCCCGTCTGTGCCATGACACAGGAACTAGTTTCTCAGTCTCCATGCATGGTCGTCAGCTCACGACCTGCTCCGTGCTGTCATAGGCTCCCCGTGTGACTACACATACTCCCTTGTCCTTCGCAGATGCTGCTAGGCTCTTACACTGTGCACTGCTACCCCCTGCATTTGCCATAAAAGGGATCATCCAGGGTGGCAATACCTGGTACAGGGAATGTGTTCTCCATAGAAGCCACTTGGAGAAAAATCTATGGGTTGTTGTTTGTACCTTAATACACCAGCTAGGGCATTCTACCCTTATTCAGTATACCAGTTTAGCCGTGAATGTAATCATTCTGGCTTGTGAACATGTACTAATAAAATTATAATAAATTACAAACAAAATAAAAAGGGGAATGAATTTTTGACAAACAGATAAAAATACAGCAGCCAAGTGAAGAAAAATGTGTAGAGACTTGAGACCCTCTGACTGGCGGGAAAGTGTCCTTCAGGCAGACGCAAGCCTCATGAGTAACATGGCAGCTCTCGTGAAGCGAAGACCATCTTAATGGCATTACTGTTGCCCTTCTTGGTAAAATCGGAATGCGCATTTCCAGAGTAGAACTTTGGTCCGTATACAACACATGGCAAACTTGCTATGTGCTGATTGTCCAAGATACCCACAGGCAGCTCACCTTCGGAGGAGATGAGTCAACCCCACATTCCCAGTACCTGGTGATGACGGAGTCATGGAACAACATGAAACTCAAACTCAGGCAAACCTTCTCAAGGAGTCCTCATTCTCCCCCTATCCCGACTTTGTACATCTTCTCAGGACCCTGCCTATATTAGTTTGGATTCACAACTGATTGGATATTGCAGAAGGAATGACTAGTGTTCTCTAATATACAGCCAAAGAGCTGGACATGGTGGCACAGACCTATGAAGGCTGAGTCAAGACGATGACTATGAATTCAGGGCCAGCCTGGGCTACAAGGTGAGTTCAAGGTCAGCCTAAACTATGTTATGACACCTTGTTAAACTTAGTTATAAAATGGGGATAATAATTGAGTTCTACTCCCAGGAGGCTTTTGAAAACGTTTGTTGGTCTGATCTTGAAAGGAGCTTCCTAAACTCTTTCCTCCTTGAGCAGTAGATCCGCGTGTTGTCCTGGTCTACTCATACGGACCTGATACCAGGCCCATGAAAGGGAGGCATTTCCTACAGAGCTGTATGCTTTTCAGATAGTGAAGGGGTAGGTGGAAACTTTCTTTCCAATGAGGTTCTAAACGTTAATGTTTGCCGTTTCCTGAGCTACTTTGTGCAGTTGAAACTGAGTTTTTCAATATTTCCTGGGCTACCGATAATATTCACTCAGAAAATACTCATCTGTCTCCCATGATGTGGTCCAGAAGCCGTGGGAGACATATAGACCCAGGCATGACTCTCTGGGAGCTTGTAACATTACAGAAGGGTGAATTATGGAAACAGTGAAAGCTTCCCAAAGGAGATTTCTGGGTTTGCTCAGTTTTGCTGAAGATCATCTTGTTTGTTCACCTGCTCTTTAGTTCTGGCTGATAGTACACTTTTTTTTTTTTTTTCTGGATCTAAGATTCAAACTTTGATTCTACAAAAGAAGAGTCTTTAGGTCAATGGATTTCCAGATTTATGGGTCCTTCTCTTCTGTTCCTCTTGTGGAGGCATAAAAAAAGAACTAAGACAAAGTCTTTGTCCTGAGTGGTTCTCATATTGGACTTTAAGCCTACTAAGTGCTTATCATTCATTAATATCTAATTGAGATGGAACTTTCTACTTTAGTTTTGTCAAAAATAAAATCATATCAAAAAATTTAAAATTTAAGTTCATTGTGCATACAAAAGAAAACTTTGTGATCGGGGAGACCTCAGACCAAGTCAGAAGTGAAATAAACTGACATGAAAGCTTAAATATTGCATGGTTTCCTCTTGTGTGAGAAATATAAAGCATAAAGAGCAAAATAAAAGAAAATAGGAAACAAAGAGACAGATCTTTTGCAAATAGGAAGAGGACCAAGAGATGGAGGGAGCAGGAGGAAGAGGAAGGGAAGGAGAGATAAATAGAATGAAGATGTGTTATATACATTTACAAAATCCTATCAATGCATGTAATCATTGTATAGTACAAACATGCAGTAGTAAAGATTTTTGAATGAAAAAAGCGGAAAGCAAGAATGATATTATAAGTGTGTACACAGTGAGAGGGAGTATTTTGAGGAGGATTAATGGCAGTATATCTTTTGCTGTAGTGTTGTTAATCCTAAAGCGGGGGCAGAGTTTGCTTTATGGCACTAATGTAAAGCACAGCGGGGGAAGTGGTGAGACCTTTTTTTTTTTTTTTTTTTT